ACACAAGTAACAAAAAACCGTGTTGTGTATACCCTACATTTTTTTTTGGCGTTGTACAAATATCTAAAAATTTAATACTTCTCAGCAGCTGAAAAAATTATACTAGGTGTTACTGACTTTAGCTTAAAATTATAAGTTTGTTTCGAAAAAATTGTCAACTTCTGATTTATTATAGTCTTTGTATTTTTATTATGAAAATTTATATCAATAACGTTACACACGAAAACCAAACAAAATTGAATTGCGCGACTTTTTTAATTGTTATTTCTATTTAATTAAAAATGCCTTTCGAGTCTATAATAAAACGAAGGAATAAATATTTTATATTTGAAATTAATTTGTTAAAGTCGAACTTTTAGTAAAAATAAAATATTATAACAAGAACAAACATAATAGATATGGAAAATGCAATTCAATGGGTCAATTTGTTTTCCTCGATATCAAATACAAATTGGATTGTCAGTTTTGAATTCACTGAATCACTGAATTTTGTGGAGAACAAAGTGTTCGATTTGATGTAGTTTAAAATTTAATAGAAAACGGTTGTTTTTTTTTAAGATTTTATATTTTAAAATAATATTAAACAAATAATCTTTAAATATATCAATATATATTTTACATTTCAAAAAATCTGTACCAAAGTGGCCCTTTGGATAGAAGATCTAGACGATTTTATAAGATTCTATGTTAATTAATATCAAATAACTGTTAATTTTAAAATCTCCTTTCGGCTTGAGAATTTGATTGTAGTTATATGTATAAAAATACACACACGTGTATCCTATAATTATAAGTGGTGACATTTTCCCCTGTAGGCATGTTGAGCTCAATTCCACCATTCTAGATAGAATATTTTCACGCCTTGAACATCATGAAAGGGGAGATAAAAATACAAAAATGTTTAGCATGAGTTTTAGGTCGGTTTTTTTTCAATACTTTTAATTTTTACATAAAAAAAAATATAAAAAGGGCAACCGTTAAACACGACCGATAATTAGTGAATATAATTATTGCAGTTGACAAAAGTACAGCTATTTCAAGTATGTGTGTTGCGGTTGCTTGTCATTCTAAATTTCCTTTATTTTATACAGTTGCTAAAAAACGTTTGCCAAGTCGGTGTCGGCATATAAACTGATATTTGTTTTTTTAATTTTCTGAGGATTTTTATATATATCTGTTATTATTATTTATAAAATAATAATAGCAGGAGTAGCTATAAAATACAACATCTATGCGTACAATTCCAATAATAGTATTCCTGTTTCGAAGTATTTATCTACCTATGGCTTATTTAATAAACCTTTGAATTTTCTCAATAACAAGGTTATTACCTTTCTTGGTACCTTTATTATGAAAAATTACATCAATAAGATGATACACGAAAATAAAACAAAATTGACAATTTTCTACATTTTTTTGTAGTCGGATTGACTTGTTTTTTTAAAACTTAACGTTTGTTAAGAGTTTTCATATTTTTTTACATTGCTACAGTTATTTCAGAAAAACGGATCAACCACTTAAGTACACAAACGACAATCCAAATTATAAAAACCTGTTTTTTCTACAGAGCAATAATATAGTCGTATAGTTGTAAGTAAGTGTCTTAATGATACCAACCGAAATTTGTCATTTATTTACATTGCAACAGACGTTGTGAAATGCACACTCCCTTCACCACAATTTTGTGCAGCACATAACATCTCTGTATAAAATGTAAGATATTGTACTGTTACTCTAGTATAGTATTCACCCTCTTTGGTGGTATACTTTAATTTTAATCCGGAATTTTATACTTCATTTAGCATTTTAAAAATACATATTTAAGATACTATTTAAGAATATGAATTTTAAAAGCGTTATTCTGGTTATAACAACCGTGTTATGCATCATCATGTCTATGTCTAAAGGTAGGTACATAAAAAATATTTAAAAACAAATGTAACAATT